GTAGGTTGTTAGACAACAACCACCCAGGGAGGTACTACCGTCCTGTGGTAGTAGGTTGGTAGACAACAACCACCCAGGGAGGTACTACCGTCCTGTGGTATTAGGTTGGTAGACAACAACCACCCAGGGAGGTACTACCGTCCTGTGGTAGTGGGTTGGTAGACAACAACCACCCAGGGAGGTACTACCGTCCTGTGGTATTAGGTTGGTAGACAACAACCACCCAGGGAGGTACTACCGTCCTGTGGTAGTAGGTTGGTAGACAGCAACCACCCGGGAGGTACTCCGTCCTGTGGTAGTAGTTGGTAGACAACAACCACCCAGGGAGGTACTACCGCCCCTGTGGTAGTAGGTGGTAGACAACCACCCAGGGAGGTACTACCATCCTGTGGTAGTAGGTTGGTAGACAACCACCCAGGGAGGTACTACCATCCTGTGGTAGTAGGTTGGTAGACAACAACCACCCAGGGAGGTACTACCGTCCTGTGGTAGTAGGTTGGTAGACAACAACCACCCAGGGAGGTACTACCGTCCTGTGGTAGTAGGTTGGTAGACAAAAACCACCCAGGGAGGTACTACCGTCCTGTGGTAGTAGGTTGGTAGACACAAACCACCCAGGGAGGTACTACCGTCCTGTGGTAGTAGGTTGGTAGACAACCACCCAGGGAGGTACTACCGTCTTGTGGAAGTAGGTTGGTAGACAACCACCCAGGGAGGTACTACCGTCCTGTGGTAGTAGGTTGGTAGACACCAACCACCCAGGGAGGTACTACCGTCCTGTGGTAGTAGGTTGGTAGATACCAACCACCCAGGGAGGTACTACCGTCCTGTGGTAGTAGGTTTGTAGACAACAACCACCCAGGGAGGTACTACCATCCTGTGGTAGTAGGTTGGTAGACAACAACCACCCAGGGAGGTACTACCGTCCTGTGGTAGTAGGTTGGTAGACAACAACCACCCAGGGAGGTACTACCGTCTTGTGGTAGTAGGTTGGTAGACAACAACCACCCAGGGAGGTACTACCATCCTTTGGTAGTAGGTTGGTAGACAACAACCACCCAGGGAGGTACTACCGTCCTGTGGTAGTAGGTTGCTAGACAACAACCACCCAGGGAGGTACTACCGTCCTGTGGTAGCAGGTTGGTAGACACCAACCACCCAGGGAGGTACTACCGTCCTGTGGTAGTAGGTTGGTAGACAACCACCCAGGGAGGTACTACCGTCCTGTGGTAGTAGGTTGGTAGACAACCATCCAGGGAGGTACTACCGTCCTGTGGTAGTAGGTTGGTAGATACCAACCACCCAGGGAGGTACTACCGTCCTGTGGTAGTAGGTTGGTAAACAACCACCCAGGGAGGTACTACCGTCCTGTGGTAGTAGGTTGGTAGACAACCACCCAGGGAGATACTACCGTCCTGTGGTAGTAGGTTGGTAGACAACCACCCAGGGAGGTACTACCGTCCTGTGGTAGTAGGTTGGTAGACAACCACCCAGGGAGGTACTACCGTCCTGTGGTAGGAGGTTGGTAGACAACCACCCAGGGATGTACTACCGTCCTGTGGTAGTAGGTTGGTAGACAACAACCACCCAGGGAGGTACTACCGTCCTGTGGTAGTAGGTTGGTAGACAACAACCACCCAGGGTGGTACTACCGTCCTGGGGTAGTAGGTTGGTAGACAACAACCACCCAGGGAGGTACTACCGTCCTGTGTTAGTAGGTTGGTAGACAGCAACCGCCCAGGGAGGTACTACCGTCCTGTGGTAGTAGTTTGGTAGACATCAACCACCCAGGGAGGTACTACCGTCCTGTGGTAGTAGGTTGGTAGACAACAACCGCCCAGGGAGGTACTACCGTCCTGTGGTAGTAGGTTGGTAGACAACTACCACCCAGGGAGGTACTACCGTCCTGTGGTAGAAGGTTGGTAGACATCAACCACCCAGGGAGGTACTACCGTCCTGTTGTAGTAGGTTGGTAGACAACAACCACCCAGGGAGGTACTACCGTCCTGTGGTATTAGGTTGGTAGACAACAACCACCCAGGGAGGTACTACCGTTCTGTGGTAGTAGGTTGGTAGACATCAACCACCCAGGGAGGTACTACCGTCCTGTGGTAGTAGGCTGGTAGACAACAACCACCCAGGGAGGTACTACCGTCCTGTGGTAGTAGGTTGGTAGACAACAACCACCCAGGGAGGTACTACCATCCTGTGGTAGTAGGTTGGTAGACAACAACCACCCAGGGAGGGTACTACCGTCCTGTGGTAGTAGGTTGGTAGACAACAACCACCAGGGAGGTACTACATCCTGTGGTAGTAGGTTGGTAGACAACAACCACCCGGGAGGTACTACCGTCCTGTGGTAGTAGTGGTTGGTAGACAACCACCCAGGGAGGTACTACCGTCCTGTGGTAGTGGGTTGGTAGACAACAACCACCCAGGGAGGTACTACCATCCTGTGGTAGTAGGTTGGTAGACAACAACCACCCAGGGAGGTACTACCGTCCTGTGGTAGTAGGTTGGTAGACAACAACCACCCAGGGAGGTACTACCATCCTGTGGTAGTAGGTTGGTAGACAACAACCACCCAGGGAGGTACTACCGTCCTGTGGTAGTAGGATGTGTAGACAACAACCACCCAGGGGGGTTACTACCGTCCTGTGGTAGTAGGTTGGTAGACAACAACCACCCAGGGAGGTACTACCGTCCTGTGGTAGTAGGTTGGTAGACAACAACCACCCAGGGAGGTACTACCGTCCTGCCAAGTGAGTGTAAAACGGAAACCTGTAATTGTTTTACATGATGGTAGGATTGCTGGTGTCCATTTTTCTGTCTCATAAACATGGGTAAGTGGAACAGAATTCTTCCTTCGTAAGCCATGCTGGTGTTAAGAGGTGACTAAAATGCCTGGAGCAAGAGGCTTGTAACCCCTTCTCCTATGTACATTACTAAAGTTAAGAGAACCTTTTGTTTTTCTTTTATCATGGTAGTGGACAATAACCTATCAGCATTTTGTACCATTTGTCAATAAAAATAATAATGCCAGTCATGGAGGCGGAACTGTGTCTTGGTAACTGTGTCTTGGTAACTGGGTCTTGGTAACTGGGTCTTGGTAACTGTGTCTTGGTAACTGTGTCTTGGTAACTGGGTCTTGGTAACTGGGTCTTGGTAACTGTGTCTTGGTAACTGTGTCTTGGTAACTGGGTCTTGGTAACTGGGTCTTGGTAACTGGGTCTTGGTAACTGTGTCTTGGTAACTGTGTCTTGGTAACTGGGTCTTGGTAACTGGGTCTTGGTAACTGGGTCTTGGTAACTGGGTCTTGATAACTGGGTCTTGGTAACTGTGTCTTGGTAACTGGGTCTTGGTAACTGTGTCTTGGTAACTGTGTCTTGGTAACTGGGTCTTGGTAACTGGGTCTTGGTAACTGGGTCTTGGTAACTGGGTCTTGGTAACTGGGTCTTGGTAACTGTGTCTTGGTAACTGTGTCTTGGTAACTGGGTCTTGGTAACTGTGTCTTGGTAACTGGGTCTTGGTAACTGTGTCTTGGTAACTGGGTCTTGGTAACTGTGTCTTGGTAACTGGGTCTTGGTAACTGGGTCTTGGTAACTGGGTCTTGGTAACTGTGTCTTGGTAACTGGGTCTTGGTAACTGTGTCTTGGTAACTGTGTCTTGGTAACTGGGTCTTGGTAACTGGGTCTTGGTAACTCTGTCTTGGTAACTGGGCCTTGGTAACTGTGTCTTGGTAACTGGGCCTTGCTAACTGTGTCTTGGTAAATGGGTCTTGGTAACTGTGTCTTGGTAACTGTGTCTTGGTAACTGGGCCTTGGTAACTGTGTCTTGGTAACTGTGTCTTGGTAACTGGGTCTTGGTAACTGGGCCTTGGTAACTGGGTCTTGGTAACTGTGTCTTGGTAACTGGGCCTTGGTAATTGTGTCTTGGTAACTGGGTCTTGGTAACTGGGTCTTGGTAACTGGGTCTTAGTAACTGGGTCTTGGTAACTGTGTCTTGGTAACTGGGCCTTGGTAACTGTGTCTTGGTAACTGGGTCTTGGTAACTGGGTCTTGGTAACTGGGTCTTGGTAACTGGGCCTTGGTAACTGGGCCTTGGTAACTGGGCCTTGGTAACTGGGTCTTGGTAACTGGGTCTTGGTAACTTTGTCTTGGTAACTGGGCCTTAGTAACTGGGTCTTGGTAACTGGGCCTTGGTAACTGGGCCTTGGTAACTGGGCCTTGGTAACTGGGTCTTGGTAACTGGGTCTTGGTAACTGGGCCTTAGTAACTGGGTCTTGGTAACTGGGTCTTGGTAACTGGGCCTTAGTAACTGGGTCTTGGTAACTGGGCCTTAGTAACTGGGTCTTGGTAACTGGGCCTTGGTAACTGGGCCTTGGTAACTGTGTCTTGGTAACTGGGTCTTGGTAACTTTGTCTTGGTAACTGGGCCTTAGTAACTGGGTCTTGGTAACTGGGCCTTGGTAACTGGGTCTTGGTAACTGGGTCTTGGTAACTTTGTCTTGGTAACTGGGCCTTAGTAACTGGGTCTTGGTAACTGGGTCTTAGTAACTGGGTCTTGGTAACTGGGCCTTGGTAACTGGGTCTTGGTAACTGGGTCTTAGTAACTGGGTCTTGGTAACTGGGCCTTGGTAACTGGGTCTTGGTAACTGGGCCTTGGTAACTGGGTCTTGGTAACTGGGTCTTAGTAACTGGGTCTTGGTAACTGGGTCTTGGTTACTGGGTCTTGGTAACTGGGTCTTGGTAACTGGGTCTTGGTTACTGGGTCTTGGTAACTGGGTCTTGGTAACTGGGTCTTGGTAACTGGGTCTTAGTAACTGGGTCTTGGTAACTGGGCCTTGGTAACTGGGTCTTGGTAACTGGGTCTTAGTAACTGGGTCTTGGTAACTGGGTCTTGGTTACTGGGTCTTGGTAACTGGGTTTTGATTACTGGGTCTTGGTAACTGGGTCTTGGTAACTGGGTCTCAGCAACTAAGCTGTGACGTAGTAAGCTTACCTGCGTCGTAGTAACGCAGCTCCGGAGTATATATAATGCGTATCCCCGACTCGTCCTTAAAAGTGTGCCCATTAGGGTTGTCGTAGTGGACCTCCAGCATGTAGAACTTCGGCCCTTTAGGGGTTAAGGGGTAGCCAGCCTCAGGGGGAAGAGACAACCCCTAGACAACAAGAATATTAGGGGTGAGAAATAGGGATTATTGTTGTAAAGAATATAATATATATATATATAATATATATATATATATATAATATATATATATATATATATATATTATAAAATGTGCCTAACAGGTAAAACTTGCTATTTTGGCTTAAATAGCAAGGCTCTTCTTGCCGAATAAGGCAAGCGAAAATTTGTGTATGCAATAATTCCGCAAAGATCATTCTGAACCTAACAACGAAAAAAATGTATTTCATTATCTTTGTTTATTATTAAATTATTGTAAAATTATCTAAAATGTATTTAGCTGGATTAGGTTAAATTAAATTGCGCTTGTTATAATAAGGTCAGGTAAGTTTTCTAAGGTTCTTTTGGTACAAAATTATTAATTTTTACATTAACATGAATAAAAAATGTATCTTTAAACGTATAAGAGAAAACTTTAGAAAGAACCTAGTTTTAAATGAGCTTGATAATTAACCACTTTTGCCTATTCGGCACCACATATATAAGATATATATATCTATCTATTATCACACTGGCCGATTCCCAACAAGGCAGGGTGGCCCGAAAAAGAAAAACTTTCACCATCATTCACTCCATCACTGTCTTGCCAGAAGGGTGCTTTACACTACAGTTTTTAAACTGCAACATTAACACCCCTCCTTCAGAGTGCAGGCACTGTACTTCCCATCTCCAGGACTCAAGTCCGGCCCGCCGGTTTCCCTGAATCCCTTCATAAATGTTACTTTGCTCACACTCCAACAGCACGTCAAGTATTAAAAACCATTTGTCTCCATTCACTCCTATCAAACACGCTCACGCATGCCTGCTGGAAGTCCAAGCCCCTCGCACACAAAACCTCCTTTAGCCCCTCCCTCCAACCTTTCCTAGGCCGACCCCTACCCCGCCTTCCTTACACTACAGACTGATACACTCTTGAAGTCACTCTGTTTCGTTCCATTCTCTCTACTTGTCCGAACCACCTCAACAACCCTTCCTCAGCCCTCTGGACAACAGTTTTGGTAATCCCGCACCTCCTCCTAACTTCCAAACTACGAATTCTCTGCATTATATTCACACCACACATTGCCCTCAGACATGACATCTCCACTGCCTCCAGCCTTCTCCTCGCTGCAACATTCATCACCCATGCTTCACACCCATATAAGAGCGTTGGTAAAACTATACTCTCATACATTCCCTCTTTGCCTCCAAGGACAAAGTTCTTTGTCTCCACAGACTCCTAAGTGCACCACTCACCCTTTTCCCCTCATCAATTCTATGATTCACCTCATCTTTCATAGACCCATCCGCTGGCACGTCCACTCCCAAATATCTGAATACATTCACCTCCTCCATAACTCTCTCCCTCCAATCTGATATCCAATCTTCCAATCACCTAATCTTTTTGTTTATCCTCATAACCTTACTCTTTCCTGTATTCACTTTTAATTTTCTTCTTTTGCACACCCTACCAAATTCATCCACCAATCTCTGCAACTTCTCTTCAGAATCTCCCAAGAGCACAGTGTCATCAGCAAGAGCAACTGTGACAACTCCCACTTTATGTGTGATTCTTTATCTTTTAACTCCACGCCTTTTGCCAAGACCCTCGCATTTACTTCTCTTACAACCCCATCTATAAATATATTAAACAACCACGGTGACATCACACATCCTTGTCTAAGGCCTACTTTTACTGGGAAATAATTTCCCTCTTTCCTACATACTCTAACTTGAGCCTCACTATCCTCATAAAAACTCTTCACTGCTTTCAGTAACCTACCTCCTACACCATACACCTGCAACATCTGCCACATTGCCCCCCTATCCACCCTGTCATACGCCTTTTCCAAATCCATAAATGCCACAAAGACCTCTTTAGCCTTATCTAAATACAGTTCACTTATATGTTTCACTGCAAACACCTGGTCCACACACCCCGTACCTTTCCTAAAGCCTCCTTGTTCATCTGCTATCCTATTCTCCGTCTTACTCTCAATTCTTTCAATAATAACTCTACCATACACTTTACCAGGCATACTCCACAGACTTATCCCCCTATAATTTTTGCACTCTCTTTTGTCCCCTTTGCCTTTATACAAAGGAACTATGCATGCTCTCTGCCAATCCCTAGGTACCTTACCCTCTTCCATACATATATTAAATAATTGCACCAACCACTCCAAAACTATATCCCCACCTGCTTTTAACATTTCTATCTTTATCCCATCAATCCCGACTGCCTTACCCCCTTTCATTTTACCTACTGCCTCACGAACTTCCCCCACACTCACAACTGGCTCTTCCTCACTCCTACAAGATGTTATTCCTCCTTGCCCTATACACGAAATCACAGCTTCCCTAACTTCATCAACATTTAACAGTTCCTCAAAATATTCCCTCCATCTTCCCAATACCTCTAACTCTCCATTTAATAACTCTCCTCTTCTGTTTTTAACTGACAAATCCATTTGTTCTCTAGGCTTCCTTAACTTGTTAATCTCACTCCAAAACTTTCTCTTATTTTCAACAAAATTTGTTGATAACATCTCACCCACTCTCTCATTTGCTCTCTTTTTACATTGCCTCACCACTCTCTTAACCTCTCTCTTTTTCTCCATATACTCTTCCCTCCTTGCATCACTTCTACTTTGTAAAAACTTCTCATATGCTAACTTTTTCTCCCTTACTACTCTCTTTACATCATCATTCCACCAATCGCTCCTCTTCCCTCCCGCACCCACTTTCCTGTAACCACAAACTTCTGCTGAACACTCTAACACTACATTTTAAACCTACCCCATACCTCTTCGACCCCATTGCCTATGCTCTCATTAGCCCATCTATCCTCCAATAGCTGTTTATATCTTACCCTAACTGCCTCCTCTTTTAGTTTATAAACCTTATATATATATTATATATATATATATATATATATATATATATATATATATTATATATATTATATATATATATATATATATATATATAGTATGTAATTTAGAATTACTTAGAAACTACAATAATCCATTTAAATTTTCAGAGCGATTTGTATTGTACATTACCAGCCCTGTGACCCTCCCTCCCCTCCCTCCCTCCTGTAAATTCTTTGAGAGTGCCACCAGCTGTGTGTGTGTGTGTGTGTGTGTGTGTGTGTGTGTTGTGTGTGTGTGTGTGTAAGGAGTGTGTGCATGTACGTATTTTACATAGTGATATCTGTTTTCAGTGATTTTATTGCACCCACACACACACACACACACACACATATATATATATATATATATATAATATATATATATATATATATATATATATATATATATATATATATATATGGTAAAGTGTATGGTAGAGTTATTATTGAAAGAATTAAAAGTAAGACGGAGAATAGGATAGCAGATGAACAAGGAGGCTTTAGGAAAGGTAGGGGGTGTGTGGACCAGGTGTTTACAGTGAAACATATAAGTGAACAGTATTTAGATAAGGCTAAAGAGGTCTTTGTGGCATTTATGGATTTGGAAAAGGCGTATGACAGGGTGGATAGGGGGGCAATGTGGCAGATGTTGCAGGTGTATGGTGTAGGAGGTAGGTTACTGAAAGCAGTGAAGAGTTTTTACGAGGATAGTGAGGCTCAAGTTAGAGTATGTAGGAAAGAGGGAAATTTTTTCCCAGTAAAAGTAAGCCTTAGACAAGGATGTGTGATGTCACCGTGGTTGTTTAATATATTTATAGATGGGTTGTAAGAGAAGTAAATGCGAGGGTCTTGGCAAGAGGTGTGGAGTTAAAAGATAAAGAATCACACACAAAGTGGGAGTTGTCACAGCTGCTCTTTGCTGATGACACTGTGCTCTTGGGAGATCTGAAGAGAAGTTGCAGAGATTGGTGGATGAATTTGGTAGGGTGTGCAAAAGAAGAAAATTAAAGGTGAATACAGGAAAGAGTAGGGTTATGAGGATAACAAAAAGATTAGGTGATGAAAGATTGAATATCAGATTGGAGGGAGAGAGTATGGAGGAGGTGAATGTATTCAGATATTTGGGAGTGGACGTGTTAGCGGATGGGTCTATGAAAGATGAGGTGAATCATAGAATTGATGAGGGGAAAAGAGTGAGTGGTGCACTTAGGAGTCTGTGGAGACAAAGAACTTTGTCCTTGGAGGCAAAGAGGGGAATGTATGAGAGTATAGTTTTACCAACGCTCTTATATGGGTGTGAAGCATGGGTGATGAATGTTGCAGCGAGGAGAAGGCTGGAGGCAGTGGAGATGTCATGTCTGAGGGCAATGTGTGGTGTGAATATAATGCAGAGAATTCGTAGTTTGGAAGTTAGGAGGAGGTGCGGATTACCAAAACTGTTGTCCAGAGGCTGAGGAAGGGTTGTTGAGGTGGTTCGGACATGTAGAGAGAATGGAGCGAAACAGAATGACTTCAAGAGTGTATCAGTCTGTAGTGGAAGGAAGGCGGGGTAGGGTCGGCCTAGGAAAGGTTGGAGAGAGGGGGTAAAAGGAGGTTTTGTGTGCGAGGGGCTTGGACTTCCAGCAGGCATGCGTGAGCGTGTTTGATAGGAGTGAATGGAGACAAATGGTTTTTAATAATTGACGTGCTGTTGGAGTGTGAGCAAAGTAACATTTATGAAGGGGTTCAGGGAAACCGCGGGCCGGACTTGAGTCCTGGAGATGGGAAGTACAGTGCCTGCACTCTGAAGGAGGGGTGTTAATGTTGCAGTTTAAAAACTGTAGTGTAAAGCACCCTTCTGGCAAGACAGTGATGGAGTGAATGATGGTGAAAGTTTTTCTTTTTCGGGCCACCCTGCCTTGGTGGGAATCGGCCAGTGTGATAATAATAATAATAATAATAATATATATATATATATATATATATATATATATATATATATAAATATATATATATATATAAATATATATATATTTATATATATATATATAAATTCCTTCTTTTTATTTCTTGTTAAAGGGAAATGTAAAATAAATAAAAATACTGGAGGCTGTAAAGTTTTGTCGTAATTTTAAGGGGTAGAGCTTACTATACGACAAGTGGCAAAGCAGCTTAAAACAGCTTTAAACTGTTACTGCAAGGTAGAAGGACTGACGTTTCCCCTCAAACTGTTACTGCAAGGTTGGGGGACTGATCCCCTGAAACTACAAGGTTCAGGGACTGATCCCTTCAAACTAGTAGAAGGTTCAGGGACTGACCTTCATACCACACACCCTTCCTACCTCACAGTTTACCTACCACACACCCTACCACACAGTTTACCTACCACACAGTTTACCTACCACACAGTTTACTTACCACACAGTTTACTTACCACACAGTTTACTTACCACACAGCCTACCTACCACACTACCTACCACAAAGCCTACCTACCACACAGTCTACCTACCACACAGCCTACCTACCACACAGTTTACCTACCACAAAGCCTACCTACCACACAGTTTACCTACCACAAAGCCTACCTACCACACAGTCTAGCTACCACACTACCTACCACAAAGCCTACCTACCACACAGTCTACCTACCACACTACCTACCACACAGTCTACCTACCACACAGTTTACCTACCACAAAGCCTACCTACCACACAGTTTACCTACCACACAGCCTACCTACCACACAGCCTACCTACCACACAGCCTTCCTACCACAAAGCCTACCTACCACACAGTTTACCTACCACAAAGCCTACCTACCACACAGTCTACCTACCACACAGTTTACCTACCACAGAGCCTACCTGCCACACAGCCTACCCACCATACAGCCTACCTGCTACACAGCCTACTCACCTCAGAGCCTACAGCCCAGGCTACTACAACGTGGTTACAGGTGTACACCAGCTGGGAGGTGTCAGTCTGGTAGCATACATGACCACCAGATGAAGCCAGTTCCTCAAACGCTACGTCCAGCTCTGGCTCCAGGTTAGTGAGGTCTGTGCACTCGTACACGATCATGTGGTGCACGTACTGCTCGTTGCCAGAGGTGAACACCGGCTCGTACTGCAAATGGAAAAAGGGAAGTGTTAAAATTCCTGCCTGGGAGATCAAGGGGTCAGTCCCCAGACGAAGGATCGAGTCCGAAATATTTCACACTTGTTTATAGGTATTTAAATATAAACTCTATAATGCGTTACTGAATTACTTTAATTACTGTTATTTTTATTTATTATTATTTATATAAGGAGGCCATAAACCCGTAAGGGTCATATATTTTCTGGGAAATTGAGAAATAAAGATTGCTTTTATTTCTTGGATCAAGAGCCTAATAGCGCGCGCGCGCATACCAGCGAAGAGGCGGTGCCAAGAGCTGTGAATCAACCCCTGCCATCACAAATAGGTGAGTACACACACACACACAGGTCAGTGTGCTGGTCGCCATGGGTTTGAATCCCACCCGTTCCGTGGTTTGTCGTGTTAAGATTTCACGAGACAAGTGTCCAGTTTTAACTCGTCCAGTAATATCTGTATTGAATAAAACCACTGGTTTGACGAAACGTTTTCAAATTAAAGATACGAAGGTGTTGCACATGTCTTATTAATTAATAAAGATAACAGGTGTTGTACATGTGTCTTATTAAGCTACCCAAGTGTTGTACATGTGTCTTAGTAAGCTACCCAAGTGTTGTATATGTGTCTTATTAAGCTACCCAGGTGTTGTACATGTGTCTTAGTAAGCTACCCAAGTGTTGTACATGTGTCTTAGTAAGCTACCCAAGTGTTGTACATGTGTCTTAGTAAGCTACCGAAGTGTTGTACATGTGTCTTATTAAGCTACCCAGGTGTTGTACATGTGTCTTATTAAGCTACCCAAGTGTTGTACATGTGTCTTATTAAGCTACCCAAGTGTTGTACATGTGTCTTATTAAGCTACCGAAGTGTTGTACATGTGTCTTATTAAGCTACCCAGGTGTTGTACATGTGTCTTATTAAGCTACCCAGGTGTTGTACATGTGTCTTATTAAGCTACCCAGGTGTTGTACATGTGTCTTATTAAGCTACCCAAGAGTTGTACATGTGTCTTAAGCTACCCAAGTGTTGTACATGTGACGTATTAAGCTACCCAAGTGTTGTACATGTGTCTTATTAAGCTACCCAGGTGTTGTACATGTGTCTTAAGTTACCCAAGTGTTGTACATGTGTCTTATTAAGCTACCCAAGTGTTGTACATGTGTCTTATTAAGCTACCCAGGTGTTGTACATGTGTCTTAAGCTACCCAAGTGTTGTACATGTGACGTATTAAGCTACCCAGGTGTTGTACATGTGTCTTATTCGTCAACAAAGCTACCCAGGTGTTGTACATCTGTCTTATGTGTTTCACCTGGGTATCTTTATTGATGACTGTCTTTATTCATCAATAAAGTTACTCACTCTTATAACGTGGTTCTTCTGTACAAGAGTTGGTCTCTTGAAGACTTTACACCAGTACACTGTATCACTGGTGGGTCCCACCTCGACCCCAGGGTGGGTTAGTAACCACGAGCGGGTAAGTGGGTGGTGGTGGTGATGATGATGGTGATGGTGGTAGTGACCCCCAGAGTGTTGTGGGATGGAAGAAGAGGGAGGGAATCCAGAGGGGGAGAAATCCGGGGAGTGGGATGGGGGGTGACTGAAGGAGTTAGACGAGGGGGATTTCTGCCCCCTCTCCAGCAGGAACATGGACTTGGCTCCCCTTCGGGAGGCACCATGGTAGTGCAGACGTGGTCGTGGGCTCTCCGGGTCCACGGGGTCGTCAGGGTGGTAAGCCCACAGTAGCCTCACTGTGTCGTTCTGTGTGAGAGAGACAGAAAGGTGTTTTACTGACTTGTATCAGCTTAATGCATTTTAAACCCACGTTGGGCATTCTGAGAGAGAGAGAAAGAGAGAGAGAGAGACAGGCAGACAGACAGACAGACAGACAGGCAGACAGACAGACAGACAGACAGACAGACAGGCATGAACAGAGAGAGAGAGCATTTAAAATTGTTAGTTAATATTAGGACAAAATTAACATTATTGTTAAACTGTTATATATGACAGTTACATTGTGAGAACACCAGCAGTGTGCTGCTACACATCCTCACTGGATACTTAGTTATCCTCAATGGACACGTAGTTACACTGGGTACATAGTTATCCTCAATGGACACGTAGTTACACTGGGTACATAGTTATCCTCAGTGGACACGTAGTTACACTGGGTACATAGTTATCCTCAGTGGACACGTAGTTACACTGGGTACATAGTTATCCTCAGTGGATACGTAGTTACACTGGATACATAGTTATCCTCAGTGGACACGTAGTTACACTGGATACATAGTTATCCTCAATGGACACGTAGTTACACTGGATACATAGTTATCCTCAGTGGACACGTAGTTACACTGGATACGTAGTTATCCTCCAGAGTGTTCTCCCTGGCAGGTCGTGGACACAATAATGAGAAACATGAAAATGCAATTCCCACCTTTTTGACTGATTATTAACACTAAAAGCTTGCTGGGAATTATAACAGTCCTGATGAATATTTTATGTTGTTTGTCTTCACACACACACACACACACACACACACAGGAGGCAGGCGCTGAATCTCGACCCCTGCAACCACAATTATGTGAGCGCGCGCACACACATTCAAGGCACTGTACACCGTGTACGTCAGGCCCATGTTGCAGCACCAGTATGGAGCCCACACGTGGTCAGACACTTCAAGAAACTAGAGAAAGTGAAAAAGTTTGCAGCAAGACTAGTCCCGGAGCTAATTGGAATGTCCTTTGAGGAGAGGTTAAGGGAACTAAAGGGTATGTCTTATGAGGAGTTGTTAAGGGAAATCAACCTGATGACACTGGAGGACAGGAGGGATAGGGGGGATATGACAGCGACATATAAAATACTGTGAGGAATTGACGAAGTGGATAGGGACAGGATATTTCAGAGATGGGACACAGCAACAAGGGGTCACAACTGGAAGTTGAAAACTCAGATGAGTCCTAGGGATGTTAGGAAGTATTTCTTCAACCTTAGAGTTGTCAGGAGGTGTAACAATATGGAGAGTGAAGGATTGGAGGCAGGATCAATACATAGCTTTAAGATGAGGTACGATAATGCTCTTGGAACAGGGAGAGAGTGGACCTAGTAGTGACCAGTGAAGGGGTGGGCCTAGAAGCTGTGAATCGACCCTTGCAACCACAAGTAGGTGAGTACACACAAGCAATACTTTAGCTTTACCTTTGTTATACCCTTGATATATTTCGAGAATTTTCCTACTCGGAGCCTGGTCCTAGACCAGGCTTGTCTGGTGCTTGCTTGCTTGGTCAGCTAGGCTCTAACCGTTGGCCCGCTGCTCCACATATCCATCACAGCCTGGTTGATCTGGCATCTGGTGGAGGTACTTGTCCAGTTTCCTCTTAAAGATTTCTACACTTATCCCAACAATGTTTCTGATATCTTCTGCTAAGATAATGAATAGTCTGGGGCCCTCGAATGTTGATACAGTGTTCTCTTATTGTGCCCACGGCCTCCCCTCCGTTTATTGTACACTTCCTCCCGTATCTCTCTCCAGTATGTTACGGCAATATGCAAATTTTGGACAAGACCCTCAAGTACGTTTCAGGTATATATTGTGTACGAATGGTATATAATACCGACAAGATGAGATTAAGACACATGTGCAACATCTGGGTATCTTTATTGTAGACGTTTCGCCATCCAGTGGCTTTGTCAATACAAATTCTAGGACATAACTTGAAGACAGTAGAACTATGTACAGAAGATGAGGTAATCAGTCCCTCAACCTAGGAGTAGGTGCGAAGAGCACCATAGTCGTGGAGATTCTGAAGCAGAAGCAAGGAGCCTGGCGCTTATATAGTAACGTCAGGTGAAGCAGACGAGGGCATAGTCACTGGTAGGCGGGATTCCCCAGTGGGAATCCCGCCTACCAGTGAGTACATATTCGGAACTATAAGGCGTTCTCAGTAATTTAAATGATTTATTGGTGTTATGTGGACCGTAAATTATTTATATTTGTTCTGATACCTTCCCTGCTCTGACTTTTTTTTTATACTAATCATGGGAAGCGCTAAACCCGTAGGGATTATACAGTGCCTATGGGGGGATGGAAGGTATTCAGACTCAATCTGGGGAACTGGAACACAAATCAAGTTCCCCACATCAAGAGCCCCTCACCAGCGTCAAGGAACCTTCCCTGAGGGGTTCCCTGCTCTGAACGGGGCCGTCAACTCTCAACAACATTCTAATTGAAAGAGCACAAGCAATTTGAATAGTGGTAGGTAAGACACATAGGCAACAGTTAGGCAACTTTATTCCGAAACGCCTCGCCTACACAGTAGGCTTCTTCAGTCGAATACAGAAAGTAGGCAGGAACAGTAGAGATGTGAAGACGATGTAATCAGTCCATCACCCTTGAAGTCGTAGAATTTGAGGTTGTCAGTCCCTCAGCCTGGAGAAGTTCAGTTCTGTATTCGACTGAAGAAGCCTACTGTGTAGGCGAGGCGTTTCGGAATAAAGTTGCCTAACTGTTGCCTATGTGTCTTACCTACCACTATTCAAATTGCTTGTGCTCTTTCAATTGGAATGTTGTTGAGAGTTGACGGCCCCGTTCAGAGCAGGGAACCTCTCAGGGAAGGTTCCTTGACGCTGGTGAGGGGCTCTTGATCTGGGGAACTTGATTTGTGTTCCAGTTCCCCAGATTGAGTCTGAATACCTACCAACCTGTCGGTATTGTATACCATTTTGATGTTCAATTTGAATAGTGTTAGAAGAGGCACTGTTTCCCTGGTTATGGAGTCTTTCATTAACCACCCTGTCATTTTCATGGATTTAATGATATTTGCCTTGTTTTTTAAATGTTAACTGACATTATTAAACACAGTTCTTGCATTTTTCTACTTTCTATTTGATAATCTTGCATCTTGTACTCTGTGCCCCTTTTGAGTTCTTCATTCTTTCCATGGTTAAGCAGTTGGAACTTACCACCACTGAACGTCATGTTCTCCATTGCCCACTTGAAAACTCTTCTTGTATCTTCTTACAATTTTGCTATGTCTGTCGAGGTAATATGCTTATTTTGGTGGTATAAATCTTGGTAATAAATACCGACAAGTTGGTTTAGAAAGACACGTAAGCAAACACTATAACATATTTATTAGAAAACGTTTCGGTCCTGGGACCTTGATCACTTCTACCTCTGTATGTTAGAAGTGATCAAGGTCCCAGGCCGAAAGGGGTTTTCTAAAAATAGTTAAGTTTTTTGCTTAGTGTCTTTCTAAACCGCTTTTTTTGGGTATCCAAAAACGATACAAAAGAATAATTGTTGTTCCCATTCTTCTTGAGGATAAAACGAGAGGGCGCGGATTGGCCTTGGGGAATGAGTTTTTTGTTTTGCTAATACTGGATTTTTTTGTGCTTTTTTGCGCTATTTGTCAGTGATACCCTCTACCTACCTTCCTATTATGTATATGACCTCATTTTGTGGAAATCATCCCTGCTCCATGCTCAAACACCTTTGAAAAATACATGATACCCATTGCTTTTTTTTTTTCCCTTAACCCCTCTGAAATTCTGCAGAGTGGTTCAGCATCTAAGAACATAAGAACAAATAAAAAAGGGGGGATCACTGAAAAGGGGACTTTTTGGCCCAAACTAGGCAGGTTTTACAATCCATCCAAACAAAACATTTCCCCAACCTAATTTCAATGTCCCCCAAGAAATAAATTGATAACTCTATCCCTCATTTGTAATCCACTAAAATTTCCCCCCCTCTCACTGTGACGGGCATGTGTCTCGTGTTAACCCCTTGCTGGTTTAGCGTCTGGAAATAAAAAAACAAATGCAGTTTAATGTGACCCTTTTTTGACAACGTTTCACCCACCAGGGGCTTTTTCAAGTCATGAAAATAAAGTTGGTAAAATTTACGACAGTATGTATATATATATTACATAATTGGTTTTTTTCCTTTTTTAAATAGCTCTTGTTCTTTTTATTTTTTATTGCCCTGGGGAAGTGGAAAAGAATCTTTCCTCCGAAAGCCATGCGTGTCGTATAGGCATAAAATCCCGGGGAGAAAGGGCTAGAAACCCCTTCTCCTGTATCAATTACAAAAAAAGAAAGAAAAAAAATTTTATAAAAAGGGGTTGTTAAATGGCGTGGATGTAGTGGGGTGACAAGAAACAGATGTTTGCTGATGTTTTGGGAAGAAAAGAAGTTGGGGATTTTCCTGGCCCTAAGCGAAACAAAGCTAAAGGGGGGTTGGGAGATTTCAGTGGGGGGAAATAAATGGGATTAAATTGGAGTATTGAGGAGTTAGAGCAAAGGGGGGGTTAAGCAGTAATGTTAAATGATCAGTTATGGAAGGGAAAAGAGAATATAAATGTGAAATTCAAGAATTATGGGTTTAAAAGTAAAGTTGGATGCGAGAAGGCTAATAACGTTTTATGCACCTGGGAAGAGGGAATGCGAGGAGAGAGAGAGATTTTGGAGATTTAAGGGAAGTAAGGAGCCTTTGAACCAAGGGAGAGTAATTGTGGTAAGGGGACTTGTCTAAAGTAGGGGAAACTTTTAGAGGGGTGTGGTAGGTAAGTTTGGGGTCCGGTGTAAATATAATGGAACCCTTTTTTGAACTTTTAAAGAAAGGGGTTTTTATATAGGAAAAAACAATTTTTAAGAAAAAAGGATAAATAATTTTACCCCCGTTGATGTAGGGGGGAAAAGACAGTATTTTTGGATTATGTATTGGTAGATAAAAAGCTGTGAGTAGACTTCCCGGATGT